AGGAATTAAAAAAATAAGACTAGTCTGCATACATAAATACTACAAAAGTTGAGTTAAAAAAACAAATTTCCCTAAATAAAGAGTTATACTGAGGCAACCATAGTTGGTAGAAAATGATTTAGGTTAGAATTTTTGACCAATGTATTTCCTATTGGAATGGTAGAAAATATATTATAACAAAGAAATCCACAAAACCCATTGTCTAATTTTTATTTTAGGAAATTTTTCATTGAAAAGTCTTATGGATTCAAAACTGGAATTGTGATTAAAAATAAAAAGCAAAAGCATAAGGTAAAATAAATTGCCATGTCATCAACCAGAAAATAATTTTCTTATGTACAAAATGCTGACAAATAAAATGGTCCTATTTTTACATTATTTATATTTAAACAAATTTTGGACATATCTTTAGCAAAATATGAAGTATAGGTTTTGACAATAGCCAGTACACAGTGTGTTTTCTTGAAATCTAGAGAGACCATATGATACTCAAGTTGAATTAAAAATTCAAAAGTAAAGATGTTTTTTAAATAACTTCAAACTATTTTCCTTGACATAATAGACAGAGAGCTGATTGAATTCATTCTACCACCATGTGACTTCTTCTAACCAAGACTTGTGAAAAATGGATTGATTAAAATAGAGCAGCATAGGCAATATTAACATGCATTAGTGATAATCTTGAAACTATGTTTGATGAATGGTACAGGATACATCCCTGTTGGAAGCTCGCAAAAGACACATACACTGTGGTACATATTTGATTTAATAGAAGTTTTTTTTCAGGCTATATATCATATATATTTGCCCAAACATGCACCACAGGATAAAATAACTATTTACATAACAGAGGGTATTTAATTGACATAAACTGTCAGCTTTGCTGAGAGCAGAAGATGGCAAAGCAATACTGTAGAAGAAAGTGGAACAATCTAAAGCAATACTTTAGATATAATTTTCTAGGACAGATTATTAGATTACTTTTTTGGAAAGCATTTAACCAAAATTAAATATAGAGCTCTGGAACTTAGAATAAAATTTGCACTTGCTGAAACAGAATACTTTGCATAAAAATAATCCTTTAAATATTAGAGGAGACTTTACAGGCACATAACTGTTCAGATATAAACAAACAGACTAAAACACTTTCAAAAATTAAAGCCATTTAGGAAATGGAAGTACTTGAAACTGTTGACATTAGAATTTTTCTTCTGGTTTTGAGCAGGGATTTTATCTCTTAGGCAAAACACTTTTCTCTGATTGCTGAGAGGCTGTGGAGTAGGAACACAGGGTTCTCATATACTTTTTCCTCAACATAAACCTCATTTACAAAAATAGTGACATAGTATTATGAATAAACTATAAATTAGGGACCAGGAAAATCTACTAGAACAAATTTTGTAAAAATATGGCAGATATGGAAGTTAAAAATAGAGTGAATGCAAGTACTGTACTAAAGGTGTTTGATGTAGTTACAATGATCACTTTGCACAACTATCCCTATAGTCTAGGTAGCCATTGAGTTTCTTCTCAGCAGTGTCAGCTGGTAATGAAAACGGCAACCTCCTGTCGATGTTGATACCCTGTCTCACAGAGTTGCAGTGACAGAGAGGTCACTGTCTTATATAGGCACTGACCATAAGTATTTGTTAAAACAGTCAGTTTGGCATGGACCTCCTCTTGGAGTCCAGTTGACACTTCTACTTGACCTTCGTTAGGCTGTAAACAATTGATCACAAAGGTAATTCTTTGTTTCTTTTTACTTTTGATTTTCTGGGACCTCTTTC